CTGAATATAAAGAATGATCCGTGAACAAGATCGTTAACAAATTGCCTATCATTGCTCAGTAGCATTTCAAATGATTCTGACAAATAATAAAGAACCAGTTTTTTGCTGTTGTTTCCAATATTTTTAAAAGTTACTATCAAATTATTCAGTACATTCATTTTATTGAAGCAATATAATAAGGAAAAAACATAAAATACTCAGTTATTATAAATGGAATGTAGGAGTTGAAAAAATTTGATGATCATTCAAAATAATCGAAAAATTAGTATGTAAAATCAAAACTTATTCAGTTTTGAATTTTAGTTCAACTTTGACATTGTTACGTTTTTTAAGCTGAAAATTATGTAAATTAAATGCCCAAAAATTAAGTAGTAAAGATATTTTTAACCACATAATGAACTTCCGTTCAATATTCATACAACACGTTTAAAATTTTCTAAATCTATTAGAGCAGAATTCAAAGTTTTTATCATACGAATAAAGCAAAAATTAAATAATGTTAGTGAGTAAATTTTGTAAGAAATTTTAGAAAAATATAGCTATGATCTTTCAAAAAATGTGGGCAGCGTAAAAGAAGTGATGGTTTAGATTTATAATGAAGAAATTTTAATTTTAATAGCCAGATTTGAGCAATAAAGTCATCTTTGTAGCAAACTATCAGTTTAAATTTAAATCTCATTAGAAAGTATTCTTAAATGAATTTCTGTGATGCTGATTAGTTCAATTTTATAATAATCAATAGTATCAAAACTTGTTTTTAACCTTTCTTTGCATTAAATTTTGCAAAACCTTTTTCTAATAATTATATTAAGTGTATGAGTGAACTTATTTATGTAATTTATAAATAATTTCAATTGCATCATGTCTCAGTTTTCTTTGCATTACTGAGAACTTGTTTCCTACCCAAATTTTATTTCGTATTACTATAATATTCGAAAGCATTTCCATAATTTAAAAGCTGCTATCAGTTGATCATTGAAGAAATAAGTTTAGACATTTGTATTGGTGCATATTTTACTGGGAATGGTCGAATGATCGATGAAATGGTTAATACGAGTGATCAAGTAGACATCACTTGGCATTAACGATAACATAGAAAAACAATGGAACTGAGAAAAAGAGAAGGTGCAGTAATGCGATGTTATGTTTGCTATGTCATTTAAATGTGAGAAGTTGATGAATGACTAGATTGGGTCGTTGAAAGTTGATGATACGGTCGGTAGTAAGTAACTGTCTTCTTCTTCTTCTTCCTCTTCTTCTTCTTCATCGTTGTCTTCTTTGAATGGCTGATTTTCCAGTTTTTACCTCCAAACTTACAATAATAGTAAATAATAATAACAATAGCAAATAATGATAATGAAAATTGTGAATATTTTGATGAAAACATAAAAAACATTGATGATGGTTAACGAGTTTGTGTACTACCTGATGATACTTTAAAAACAGCAACACATCAAATATATTTAACGAGAAACTTGTCTAATACTGTTGTACTATATCATTTTGTTAGAGACCGTGGTATTCCATTTGAGAGATTGCATTTTTTATGAGCCAAAAATTGCGAATTTATACAAAGAAATTGAAAACCGTTTCAGGTTTATTGTTGCTTTATATGATTTGCTGCAAACGAGCACATGTATTTGTGTGAAGGTCACACTATTTTTTCAGTATTTTTCTTAATTATTGTGAAATACCCTTCAAAACTTTTGAATTTTCCTTGAAGGGTATTTTGGTGGTAGTTTAGAATTATAGATGTAGCGAAAAAACTATTCTGCATACTAAATATCATTAAGAAAAATTAAACAGTTTATATTATTATAAAGCGAACCAAATAATTCTTATTAATCTGATAAAGAAATAATATAAAACCATGAAATCAATTAAAGATTGACAAGCTTAGCTTAATACATCATTTGTACTTTACACGCGAACAAGGTAATCCTCATCGATTATTCCGATAATTCTGTTTCCATAATGAAAAATAAACAAATAGAAAGAGATGAGATTAGTTATGTTGATTACTGTATAATGGCAGTGAAAAGTTTAAGTGTGAAAAGAGGTGAATTGGATTGTATAGATTAGAATGGGAGTATAATGAAGGGTAGATGATACGAAAGTATAATGCATAGATTCAATGAATTCAGGTTTGAAAGGATATGCCGGTAAGGTGAAAGATAAACGTAGTAAAGAGGAAAGCCCATTATGATGATTGAGCTTAGTTATTACTAGTTTAGAGTTGTTTCATTGAAAAATAGATCAATCTTGATGTATATATATCCAATACTATCAACCAAGGAAAGAACCCTGGCATTAAATGCCCTCTAATTTTGATATCAATTTTCAACACTTTTATAAATTTCATGTTTGCTTGAAATTGTGCCAAGTTACTCTAGATTTTTCCTAACATGCGAAATTATTTTTTATTAAAATTTCCATTGATATCCTTATTTTCTAATTTTCAAGTATCGATAGATTGATTTCATAAGCTAATCACAAGTAACTCTTACAAAACATGCATTTAGTAAAGTATACAGATGATTATTCAACTAACTGTTGACAGAAAGTGAAAATTTTTAGTTCAACCTTTCTGATGAGGGAGTGAATTACTAGAATCAAAAAATTTGCTAAGGTGATAATTTTGCAAATTTTTTATGTTATGAGATCAGAAGCTTTTGTAGATTTGTAGATGGCATTTTTTTTTCGTTGTTACTTTATGAAAAATACTTTTTTGATAGTAAAAAAATGAACAGATTTTTCTAGAAAAATAAAAATTAGTTTTTACCAAATATTGGCAAAACAATCATTCAAAAATACTAATTGTTCCGACTAAATATTTATAAGTTCTGATTTTAATTTGCTCCTTTGCTATAAAAATACAAGTTTAATGAGTGCATTTGAGTTGTGAAGAATTGTTTGAAGTTATCCATTTCAACAGACACAACACTTTATTAACACTACCGTACTCCATCTGTACACTTGCCAGTTCATTTTCCACTTCTACCTGCCACTCGAATGAGATAATTTGTCAAATTTTCAAAAGTTTTGTCAGAAAAAATCTATTAAAACTATTTCTTATCGTTATTTAAATTAAACTGGTAGAAATGCAAAACGTTGGAATAAGCAAAAATCTGCAAATTTAATTCTTGGTATATATTTCTGGAAATCAGTTTTCTGACAAAATTTTGTAAAGTCATTTATTTATAAAAAACTTGAAGAAACTGATTGATGAAAAATTGCAAATAGTTGTATGAAGATTTAATAAAATAGCAGCAGCTTCTATTTCATAATGAATTTAAATGTAAAATGAGCATTCTTTTGCATCGACTTATAAAGTATAACTGATTGTTTTATTATGCTTAACAGTACATTTCAGCTCCTTTTTAATTTTTATTTGTCAAAATAGCCAAATTTTAATCGATAATAATCATTCATTTCTTGTATACAATAGTACTTGGTAAGCTAAATCTTTGCTTTATTTGCACATTGTTGAGCAATTCAACCACACCTGATTTCTTTTCGTGAGGTTTCCAAATTTTTTATATGAAGTTTCTGAAATTCGGAAAGTAAAAAATTGGCTAAAAGATATATACAAAATGTCACATTTTTAACGCATAATTTGTATTATAAAAAATAGTTTACAACAAAAATTAGTAATCGAGAATGGTGGCATAACGACATTTTATTGAGTGTGGTTTAAAAGGTAAGCAGTTAGCTCACTGGGGAATGATTGATGGGAGCTTCTAAAAAATCTTCACAATCCATGCCTAGAAGACCCCCCGTGGTTAGATCAGATTCCATGGCGGCTATTGTTTTCAAACTACTTGTCACCACTGATCACTGATCACATAACCAATCAACTAACTCTGCAGGCCTCTATTTTCCCGTTTAATTGAAATTGAGTTCATTAGATGAGATCATGATAGTCAAGATGCTTTTTATTTGACTCTCATTTTATACTGCTATTCTTTATAATTCCAACTTCTTGTGGCACATGTCATCAAAATATTTCGTAGTCCTATCAATAGTTATAATTAATAATGGCCAATTATGGCGTCATTAAATTTGACAAATGTATTTGCCCCAATTATTTTATGATATGATTACATTTTATAGATGTTTTCTCCCTTATATATAAATAAAAGTAAATAAATAAATAAATTATATATATATATATTATAAGGTTGATTCTTCATGTAAATTTTCAATCCATTTGTATATTGACGAGTCAGTTTTAACTGAACAATAAATTCTTGATCATTTGTGAATTAATTGGAGCTTCACGAGAGGATCAAACAGTGAAACATATGGCAGATTGAACGAGCTGTTCGCTTCAGGGATTAGTCGCCTAAATCCTAAAATAATGCTAATTTTGCTCGTAGCGGTATCTCTCTGCTTCCGACAAAATGCGCTTGCATTACTTTCACTGAAATATTGTGTAAAACCTCTGATCCAGGGAATTACAAATAGAACCGAAATAATTGATACTTTCTTTTAAAAAGAGACACGGAAGAATTTCATTGTTAAAAATTTTTGTTCTAAAATTTCTCATTAATTTTTTGATATTTATCTGAAAATAATGTGACAGTGTGCAATTAAAGTACTATTGATACATAAATTACATTTTCAATTCATACAATTTTGCAAGTGTTGTTGCAAATTATTACAAACTACCTAATAGGAAATGTCATGTAGCAAAAAGAATAAATATTTGGGAATGTAGAATCTCATAATTGAATATTTCGTAGTTCATTTAAATAAATATGAGTTTGAAGGTATTCAATATTAATGTAAGAAATCAATAGCAGGTTATTATTGATTATCCTATTATTAATTTGTATTTATATATTTGTTTTCTTCAAATTAGAGAAAAATAAATATAAGATAACAAGTAATTCAAGGGGATAATTGGAAAGATGAATTTGGCGAGAGTAGAATAAAAGGAATGCAAAGAAGTGGTGGCAGTGACCCGTTAAAGTTAATCCCATTTAGTAATTCTGGAAATGGGTACGGTGTATTACCTTGATGCCTTCTTTTGCATTATTATTGTTTATCATTAATGTATTTGCTGTGGTTAGCCATGCTGAAAGGTCTCAAGCAATAAATTACCTGCCAATTAACCAGAATTTGCATCGAGAAAGGTCATTATAAAATAAACATTTGAAATGATCATAAAAGATATACTTAAATTTTAAAAAAACAGTTAAATTTGGTTACAGGAGCATTTCAAAAAACTAGAATTCCTACATGACCTTATATTATAAAATATTCAGATTCCTTTAGTGTTCAAGTTTTAGGTTATAACACTGAAATATCATCACATTATTGAAATACACAAAAATATATCAATTGTTTTAAATTGGCATGAAGCTCAGAAATACCATTACATGAATATGATTTTTTCCTTGCAAGTCAGCGTTATTTCATTCTGCATATTTCAAATCTTTACCTACCTTATGTATTACATACTGCTCAATTATTTTAATCGATGGACGAACAAACATAATTTTCAGCGTCTGACTAAATTAAACTGATAAAGTCATCGCAAATTGGAACAACTGATAATTTGTAACAAAGCTTTTCTGCTAAGACTTTGTAGAAGAACTGATAAAAATTAATATCACAGGGCCGTATATAAGTAAAGAAAACAAAATTATTTGCAAAAATATGCGATAGTTATAAAAATAAAGCTGTTCAAGTTTTAGGAACTAAAACCACATAGCTATGGTTTTTTGATTACTAATTATACAAAATCATTGTTTCAGCTTTCTGAGATAGCATTTTTTCTAAACTTTGCAGTTATTTACAGTGGCTTAACTTATTGTTTTCGAATTTCTTCTCATTCATTATGAATATTACTCATTTATTTATTCAGTAAAAATAACAAATGATAAGAATAGTATATTTAATGATTTTATAATTTTCAATTCAGTGGTGCTAGTAACAAATTTCCTTTAATTTCAGTATTATCATTTTTCAAATTTCAAACATTAATAAACAGTAGATAAAGTGCTTGATGTCCGTTGATAAATTTGTCTCATAGATTAATTTTTTTAAAATTCCATTTATGTAAGAAATCTAAATCTGTGATTAATGTAATAAACACTAATTGCAGATTCTGGACATACTGGTGTGAATCAACTTGGTGGCGTATTTGTTAATGGTCGACCATTACCTGATTCAACACGTCAAAAAATTGTTGATTTGGCACATCAAGGAGCTCGACCATGCGATATTTCCAGAATTCTACAAGTTTCTAATGGGTTTGATTTGTTCTATTAATTTAGGTTAAAATAAAAATATGCATCATATTTTTGAAGCATCTCCTAGAGTTTCGTAATATTTAATCAATATAATGAAAGATATATTTAGTCAAGGTGTCAAGTATAAGGAATCAGATTCAGAATATCTATATTTAATTCCGATACTTAATTACTCACTGCAAACTATGTTTCATAGTTAAAAGTCATCAGTGATGTAAAGCAAATAACTAAATATGAGTTATTTGAAACATTTTCATACTTGTGCAGTTTAGAAAGTTTTTTTTGTATAAAATATTTCAAAAAATTCAATAATGGCTAGTATATATCTTTTTTTGATTACATGTGATCAATCTAGACTTGAGTAATTTCGATATGAAAACTACTACTTACAGATGTGTGTCGAAAATTCTCTGTCGATATTATGAATCAGGAACAATACGACCACGTGCAATTGGTGGCTCAAAACCTCGTGTCGCAACTGTTAGCGTATGCGATAAAATTGAAAGCTACAAACGTGAACAACCATCCATTTTTGCCTGGGAAATACGGGATAAATTATTACATGAAAAAGTGTGCTCTCCCGACACAATACCTAGCGTAAGTTTGCATTTAATAGTTTTATATTTGATCTACTTTTAGCCAACTAAAATTTCCTCCAACATTCATATTACAATCTATATAATTTTTAGTTCCATCTAGAAGATTTTTCTAGAAGCTTATTCAAAATCATGTCGCTCATATATTTTTTATAAGTGCTCTCATATATTATGAATCAAGTTCTTTATTAGTTTACAATAAATATTCATATTATTGGGAATAAAACTTGTGTTTTTACATCCTAATTTACTTTTATTAATATGTAATGCATGCAGCATAATGTTAATTTCTTCATTTTATATATCCATTGAAGGTATATCATCTTTTCAGTCATTCAGAATATATATTTTTTTGATTTTGCATAAAACTTTATATGACATATTGTTTTGGAGCCATTTGGCGTTTTAAAAATTTAATCATTCGCAAAAATTAACGTAAGCAAAATTCCAATTTAAAAGACTTTTCCTTCAATATTTTACAAATTATTGTCATAAAATCATTTATTTAGAGTAAAAAAATTCAAGCAATAATTTTTCCAGAAACTTTGTGCTAAAAATAGCTCTGTAAATTTCAAATTTTGATTCTCAACAAAAATTCAGAATACAGAGTACTAATCTATAGATTGATATTTTCTATTTCAAATCTTTGTTAATCTAAACTGTGCGTCTTACTTTAGAAGATATACTAAGAAAATTTCTTGTAGTTAGTGATAGCTGAGTTATCGATATTGAATCATAGATTCACTATTACAGAGACACTATAGGCATAATGTTGATTACCACAAAGAAGGTTTCCAAAAGTTAAGCAGTCACTATTAAATATATATATCGTCTAAAAGAACTGAACAATTACAACGCATTAGAAATTATCTTTTTAACGTATTTATTAAGATTCCTTTAAAAGTCAGTACAATTGCTATATTTAACTGTCAAATTAAAAGTTCTCCTCTGAACTTTGCATTATTATCAGCTTTTTGGAAATGAATTGTAGCAAGCGAACAATTGTAGGGTTTGCGAAGTTCTCTGTTGAAATGTATCACTTTGAAAAAATAGTCTGTTTAATAGGCCATTCTGATTCTGATAACAGAAAAAAAAATTAATGCATATTTTATCATGATTAGTAGTTATTTGTGATAAATTATATGACACTGCTATGAATTTTGAGCATCAAAAATTTTAAATCTGCAGGATAGAAAAAAGATTTTTGTAATCTAGATCAGATTTTGATTACAATCGTGATCATTATGATGATTTTTAAGTTAACTTAGTTGTAGAATGTATAATGCTTTTATGTGAATGTAAAAGAATGTTGTAAAGCAATAATCTTTACAAACTGTGTATATTATCTGGTCTAATTATGCTCTACAGATTAATTAAAAGTACTAGAATTCAATATGAATATATTGTTCGACATAGATAATGATTCGGAAAATGGAAATTTAACGGTAACTTTGATTACATTTACAAATGGATAATGGTCTTATAATAAGTAATATTACTGTGTTTGGAAAGCATATTTTAATGTGCTTTCGCTAAGAACATGCATCATAGGTAATGGTGGCTTATGCTTTCAGGAAACGATTTAATGAATTAGAGTAGTATCTTGCGAATAATAATATAAAGATGTAAACTTTCAAATCATTTAATGCTGCATGAGTAAAGAGTTTTCATAGCAGTTATCTATATGACTTTTCTTTTTGCAATTAATTTTTAAATCGATTAAGCCAGCAACTGACTTCGAGGTGGTAAAAATAAATAAAATATATATTATTAAGTAGTCAAATTTTTGGAAAATAATCAGTGCCGAATGCAATACTTTAGTGCTTTTTTACAAATAAAATTTAAGCTAATATATAATTTAACTTTTAAAATTTACTTCATTTTGAATCATTGTTCGTTCTAAAATATATACTTCTTTTCTTACAAGGCTTCCGTACTTTTTGACTGCGATTGATATATTTTTCAAAAGCTTTTCCCCACTTTCCAATTATCTTTTAAACAAAAGTTTGAATAGTTTTGATGTTAAAAAATGAGTGTTTTTATTTCAATTCTTTAAGTTGGTTTTTTTTTCTTCTTTGTACAATATTTCTTCTACAATATTTCTGTACAATACATCAAGCACATTAAGTCCTTTTTATTGTTTTAATTTTCATTCAAAAATTTACGCATTTATCTTCAATGATGTACTTTTGATTATTTTCAATCTACATGAAATGATAATTAAAAGTTATGAGTAATCAACTGTGCAATCTAAAAAAAAGTTGCATTGCTGGTATTGAAATAGCGTTTAAGAATACAACGGGAACTTACTGTTTTATGAAATGATAGGGAATAGAAATGATAGTGGATAGTGCTATAAAATTTTATCTTAAGCTATTTATAAATTCACTGCTTTTATGTAAAAATAAAATCACAAAAACTACAAAAGTCTTTAATTTCAACAAATAAGTTTCTGAAAACAATTCAATAAACCTTACATTTTAGTTATACTTCGAAAAAATTTTTTGACTGCATAAGTATCTGCTACCAATGTTATCTAACATTTTTAGACCTAGCGGTTCATGTGATCAATGCTTGGTTATATTTTTTAAATTACTTCATCTTCATCAAATTATTCTAGCTAAGCTCAAAATGTCAAAAAACATGTTGTATCATGTTTTTTGACATGTTGAGGGCAAAGTGGACCGTCTCCTGAGTTTAAGATCGAGATACTGCAACTTGAAATTAATTTATCACTTTCACAGTGCTTGAGTTTCATATTTCTCTATTTCGCTGCAAAACTTTTTTTTTGGGATTGGTTTGGTCCAAATTTGATTTACAATTAAGTGACTGTCCCAAGTCGCATAAAATGGATTTTTATTGCATTTAGTATGCACCCTAAACGAGAATGGACCATTTAAACGAAAAAAGTTAGAGCTAAAATAGAGATACCTGTGTGTCTATTCATGTGTGCATGTGTGTGTACATGTGTGACCTCGACGATAAGGATGTGACACACATGTTTGACTTTATCTTTCAACTGATTAACATAAGATAAGTCCAGCATGGGTAGGATAGTTTAAGTTCTTCCCTTGCTGTCAGTGCTAGAATATTTTAGCTAGAACTTCATGCAGATTTGCATCTATACAACATATTAAAAAAAACTATGACTATAGTATTTTTTATTTTTCATGAAAAAGTAACAATTATGGTACCTTTATCATCCTAATTTAGTTCTTATTTCAGCAATAAGACTAGAAAAAATGTATTGTGTTTGAAAAAGACTTTTATTTATAAAGAGATATTTGATTATTTTCATAAAAATTGCGATTTTTTCATTTCAATATTGTAGAGGATAAACAGTTACCAAATGATTAAATTCGTAATTTTTTATTGTTCTCTTTCCAAATATGTTATTGCAAAATTTCATCAATTTTCAGGTTTCTTCAATTAATAGAGTTTTAAGAAATTTGGCAGCGAAAAAAGAACAACAAGCGATGCAAAATGATTTTTATGATCGAGCTTTGCGATATTCTTCAACTCAATGGTACAATCAGTGGCCAATGGGAGTACCAGGAGCTGTAGGTTTAGCACAGCTACCATCTCTACCACAAACTAATCATACCGATAAAAAAGATTCTGGTGTGTTTTTTGCTTTTTAATTTTTTCCACTGTACAATAATATATAGACAAAACGTTCTGAAACACATAACATTCAGCGCATTCATTCGTATGATTTTTAAGTGATCATTCTTCCTCATTTGTCTTGAAATTATTTCACAGCCAATTATCAATCATCTTGTCAATGAATATTACTTGTTGATATATTCTGTCAGCAACAATCAGTATCTTTTTTTGTTTTTTGTCTTTTTTCATCGTTTAGTTCATTCATTTTCTTTTTTTTAATGAAAATTTTGTTGCATCAGTAAACTGCAAGCAATTTAATTCATGACAAAAAATACTGGCATGGATAATGTAGTAATCAATGTTTGTGCGTATGTGCGTGTGTATGTGTGTGTGCGTGTGTGTGTGTATGTGTTTCTGTATGTCTGTGTGTGTCTACATTTGTTTCTGTACATAAAAATCATAAAGATGCATCAGTGCATGAGCAGTAAGTATATGTACATGTGTTGTATCAGTGAGTTGTGCGACGCTACCTGACATATGTCATTCCTAATTTAATGCCCGTTTTAAACAATTAAACTTTGCTAGTTTTGTTGAGTTCAGTCGGCAAAAAAAAGACGAGAAGAAAAACGGTCAAAAGCAATACCATTTATATAAAAATTAAAAAGTGAAAGACAACATCATTTATCAGAATGAGCAATGATCAGCAGTGCTTGCTGCTAAGCGTAACAACGATACTGTAATATATTCAATTTTCTAGATCTTGCAAATACGATTTTATAAATGTTGAAATTCACTACAAATGATGCAAAAGACGTCAAAAATGTTAGTTATCAGTAATCTTTAATATCTTTTTAATTTATGAAGTCTTTTGTTACTCATTTTTTCTGATATCTTGTCATCAGTAAAAAATATATTTCAAATCATACTTACATATTTAAAGTAAATTAAGCAATACTGGATTAAAAGTTAAGTGCAAGCTGCATTTATTGAGGGAAAAAATTGGTGAAATAAGTAGTAAGCTTGTTAAGTGGAGTCTGCTGGAAAACTTCAAAACAGTCCATCTGTACATCTAAAACTTCATTTTATCGCTTAATGAACTTAAACCCGAAGAACGACTGTTATATAATGACTCTGCTTTAAAATTTCCTAAAAATTTGAATAAGTTAACGAATGAAATGTTTTTGTGCGAGTATATTTATTGTTTTTAAGACACTTTTAAACACTCTGAAGTTTCTTACAGTTGGTGAGCGGTTGTTTTGTGATAACTTCACGGTTCTAAAATTGGAGTTTTAATTTGAGCAGTTTTCAAGGTTGGTCACATAAAAACATTCTTAGATTTAGATTTCTGATTTCTTTATTCGATATTTCTTTGTAAAAAGATAAAGTTGATCGTGTTGTTTTAATCATCAAGCTGACTCTAATGCAGTTTAAAATTTCACTAGTGAATATAACTTTTACAAATAGCAATTTTAGTAAAATAAATCTTATGAAGGTTTTTTTTAAATGATTCTATAACACTTTTAGCTTGAACTTCTTTTTTCTTTTCAAATTTTGGCAATTTTGAATCGACGAAAAGGTGCCAAAAGTGAAACCGCAAAAAGTAGCAGTTTGAAGACATGAAGAAAGCAAAGCAGCAGCACGATCCTTTGAGACAAATAAAGAATGACAGTTCGTTTTTTCACTGTCACTTTGAATTTTTTTATTTCGCGAGTGATTTTGAAAGCTCCCACCAAGAATGTAATTTGACGGCCAATAGTCATTTTTATTCAAACTTTACAGTCTAAAACGTGCTTTATTTCTAACTGACAAATAATTATAAGGAAGCAAAGATTGCGCACGTATCTAACTTTCACAACCTTACTTATTATTTCTACAATTATATTTTCTTGTCACTGCAACTGAAATATAGTTCTACATGCCATCTAAAATTTAGGTTTAAGATGACATTTACAATCAAAAGTAGGATAGTTTATGCAAACTGTGCTAAGTATATCTTGAAAAGAATAAAAGATAAGCGGAAAAAATATTCTGCTACTAACTCGAAATTTGGAATATAATGGACCCATTTTCTTCTTGTTTTTTTCTGTTAATTTTGTTTTTTTTCAGTTGAACTGATTTTACAATAAACATTAAAAAGGGATTCAGTTTCTTAGTTTTTTAACAAAAAACCATTTTGGTTTTCAGATTTTCATAAGTAAGACTGATTTTGTAACAAAAATGCAAAGCGAATCAGTAAGTTTTTAACAAAAAAAACGTTACTCTCATTAAACATCTTTAATGTAAATTAATCGATATGATTTGTACTAAGGAAAAATGTTTTAAAAGAAACTGCTCAAATTTCTTTACCTGATATAAGTTAACAGTTTTGTCTAGTTCTTAAAACATATCTTTATATGTTTCCACTTATAATCAAATATACCATACTATTTTAGTTTTTCATTCTTCGTCAAAAGCACAGGGTAGCAGTAAAGATCTATTTTTGTAAACATTAATAATTGAATAAAATCATGAGAACTTTTATTAATTTTTGGACGAAAATCTTTAGATTTAACACAATTTTATTGCTATTTTTTTACCTGCATTTTCACACAAATAGAGAGAACAAGTGGAACTTAATGAGATGAATAAGTGGTTTGCTTGACTTATAGTTGATGTGATGAGTTGTTTGGTCAATGATGGCCCTAGGAGAATCTAAGATGGTTGACAGCTCCATCAAATCTCACGCTGTAATGATACTGGCATAAGATAAGATTGCGCTAAATGTTGCGAACAGTACTCTATTGTCGTCACTTTGATTCCTTTTCTTTAACACAATAAGTTTTTAGTCATTTTAAAATTTTCTACAAAATAATATAGTTTTTTTCTTCTTTTTTTAGATTATAAATAGTCATTTTGTTGTGTTCAAAATGATCTCAATAAGAATTTTTTACAAAGTGATGTAAAGTGGTCAGTGTGAAGTGCATAACTCGTCGCCATCGCAATTGTAATTTTTCGCTTGTTATGAGTTGTGTAGCTTTCTATTCTAATGCACAGTTTATCTAACTTTCAAGTTTTTTTGAAAAAAACTTTGAAATATGTGAAAAATTGGAAAATTTATTCAAAACCCACTATTCATAACTCCATTTTGCATTTTATAAATTTTTAGTTATTGATCTTCTATAAAATGCTTGCTTAGTAAAGAGTATATTAAGAAAGATAAAATTAATAAAATGTTAATTGATGTCAAAAGAAATAAAATAGAGTAAGTTGCATGTGCATGTTGCAGTGCATATCTCACCACCTAAAAGTTTGTGCATGTGTGTGCGTGCAAATGCGTGTGTACATGTTCGTATACCATAGTTGTCAGTAGGGTTAGAAAGTGAAAACTTGTTTCTTTTGCTGCTCTGAAATTCGTTAAATTTTGTCCGAGCAAATGCCATTTGAATTTTAAAAAGCTTTCTCTAAAATTCAACTATATTTAGGAAGTAAAATTTAGGTACTTTTCTTAGAATAAGAATACATAATTGTTTTAGTAATTAAAATCCTGCTAGCAACAGATTTACACTAAAAATCACTCAATAACTTTAATTATTAGGTTCAGACATAATAAAAACTCTTTTTTACTTCACGATTGTATTTTAAATTTAATAAAAAGATCTGAGCTCTATTTGAAAATTAGGTCTAACACATAACGTGACTTACATTGTTTTGCTTATGAATTATGTAGCTTTTGTATTTCATTAAAGTTTATATTGACAACATTTTAGAGTAAGATAACCACAATATCCATTTGATTTTCAGAAGTTTATTTTCCTCCGAAATACTGAATCTCATGAGAGCATTTTATTTTCTACAGACCAAATTTAATGATTACAACTGCGAATAGTAAGTAAATAAGCAATTTATTATCTGAAATTCACTGATTTTTCCTAATGTAGCTAGCGTTAATGCAGACTTATATAAGGAGCAGAAAGCTGGAGTGTTCTGTTATTTTCTGTTAATACTAATATTGTTAATGAAAAGAACATACAGGGAGAAAAAATTCGTTAAGCAAACTGAAAATAAATGTGTACAATTCTAAGATATCAATAGTAGAAGTAAATATCACATTTTTATAAATCAGATGCTTGGAAATATGACATTTCCTTAGAATTATGCTTGCGAGAATGATTTTAGCAATAATTTTTCCGGAAGAATATTTGCAAGCATGAAAATAATCAAATATTTTAAGTTGAATTTGATTGTTTTTGTGCAATTGTGCTTTGAGTGAGATGAGAGAAAAGGAAGGTGTCCATTAAATAATTTTTATCAGAAGGTATGACTGCATGTGCAGGAAAGAAAAGAGGACGGAAAGGTAAAAATAGAATTGAAATGTATGCACACTTTAAAACTAGACATAAATGCATACTATTGTGGCTGACATATTGTTCATTCAAAGTAACGGCACTAAGTGGGCTGTTTAGAGTTTCGGTTAGATGCATGATGCATAAATGCATGGATGGACAAAGTATTTACATTGCTCATAAACAGCCTTTCCTTGAATCCAATTTTTATTTCTTTGTTCATATGGACTGAAATTTTAAATTAAAAGTTAAAATTAAGTACAAGTTTTCAACTTATTAATTAAGCTATAAAGCAACAAGTAAGGATTGTAGGAAGCTTACAATATATATAAATAATCAAGCGAAATTTATTCACTTATCAAGAATAATCAAATTAACAATGAAAATTTATACTATTATGCTAATTTAAAAAATATAATTAATTTAAAAAATTAATCTTAGGAAACCGGTTAGCTTAGATTGACAAACTTATTTTACTCATATCAATATACCCTTCATAATAGATGCGTATGCTCTTGAATTTGATATTCATTTCTTACTTCATTTTAAGCCAGATAGAATCTTTATACATTCCCAGGAAATTCATGACTACAATAATAGTGATAACAAAGTAATGAGATACTATCTGTTGAGCTGTCATCATCTATTCTACTATAGTCTTTCAAAAATGACAGGTAGCATTCTCAGGAAGCATTTTAATATGACTGTAAAGA